AAACAAAAAGTTAATTTATTTTTTTATTTTTGAAAATAAAAAAAAAAAAGCGCAAATTTAAAAAAAAAAAACTAAACAATATAAAGGAAAAAAATAAACACCATAGAAATAATAGGAAATAATAATAAAAAATAATATTAAAATGAAAAATAAAGTAATAATAATAATTTTAAATAAAGGTATTCATTTACATTTTTTTAATTTAAAAATTATATTGTTTTTTTTTAAAACAATCATTTAAATTTATATAAATAAAAATTATGTTTTATTTATATTTATATTTTTTATTATTATAATGTAATAATATTTATTTATAAATAAAATATTTCTTAAATTAAAGAAAATGCTTTCTATAGAAAGTTTTTTCCAAAAATTTTAAAAAAAAAAATAAAAATAAAAAAAAAAAAATTTAAAAATTATTAAAAAAATTTATGAAAATTTTTCTTTTATATTTTTTTTAGTGTGTATTATATATATTTAAACGAATTGGATATACTCAAACTATAATTTGAATAATAATAATAATACAATGGAACAAGATGAAAGGAATACAATCGACACAAACACAACAGATAATGAATCATTTACCTCTGTCACAAATACAACATCAAACAAAAATAAATCACCTGTAGAACAACAAAACTCACCAAACTATAGATTATTATACGAATTGTATGTAATTATACCTCAAATACAACAAAATAATATCAAATAATAAAAAATAATAATAAAAAATAAATAATAAACACCAAAAATCATAAAGAAATAACAAATAAAATAATAAATAAAATAAACCATTATTAACATCCATTTCTTTTTTCTTCATATTAAAATAGCAAAAAACTTTCAGAACTAATGATTAGAGGTTTATATGTCATCCCCTCATTTAACTCAATTCATGGTATGAAACATAAATTTAATTTAATATTTATAAAAATAAAATTTTTTATTAACTATCGATATATATTATTTAGAGTGGCATTGTGTATTATTTATTAGAAATAGAATATATAGATCTGCAATTATTAGATTTTTAGTTGTTATACCAGACGAGTATGTAAAAAAATAAAAAATAAAAATAAAAATAAATTTGTTTTATTAATACAATATTAGTTTTCCAGATTCATGTCCATCAGTTAAATTTTTAACTCCAATGTATCATCCATTAATTGGCTCAGAAGGTGAAATCGATTTATCACACCAATTTTCAGATTGGACTTCAGAAAAATATATGATAGCACATGTTTTATGTTATATTAAAAGTATTTTCCACAACCCAGATAAATATAACTACCCACCTTTAAATCAAGATGCATATAATTTGTAAGTGTAGAATCAACACACAATCTTGTTAAACCTCACACAACACTACATTTCACAAAACTACACACTTTAGATACCAAATATAGCACAACACACTCGCAGAACATTTATACTCTTTTCATATTATAATAAAAACATATTAGTATTTGGATTCTATTTATAGGAATAATTTAGGTATTATATTATAAAAGGAAAGAGGAATAAGAGGAATAAGAGGAAGAAAAATTAAGGTAATCAGAACATAGAAAAAATTTATGACTTTGATTTTTGATTTAAAATTAGAATATACATGAAATTTTTACTCCAAAAATAGTCACATTCAAAATTCGAAATATTACAAAAATTATTTTATTTATTTTATTTTTCTTTTTGTGTTTGTTTGTGTGTTTTATTTTTTTTGTTCAAGGTAAAACTCTAATTTCGAAACTATAGTTTTATCTTTAATGGTGTTAAAATATATTTCAATACCACTCAAAAAACAAAAGCATACAAAAAAAAAAAAAAGTCAAAGACTAATAATACTTTTAAAGCAATAATAAATATTTTCCCCACACACACCACCACCACCACCATATTAACACAATCTTTTATTGGCATTTTTACATAAATTTAACACAACACCATTTTTTTTTTTAAAGAATGAAAAACAATCCAGACAATTTTCAAAAAAGAGTTTCAGAATATGTTGAAGATTCTATAAAAAATGTTTATGATAATCCCCAAGACTCTGCCATTTATTTTACAAAAGAGTGGAAAGATAAGAATCAATGGGAAAATACTAAAAAACAAATTTTAAAACAAGATAAAGGTATTATAGATCAAATATCAGAATATTCATCAAAACTTAAAGATTTTTTTAATAAATAAATAAATAAATAAATAAATAATTAAATAAATAAACCTAGAAAAATAGAAAGTAAAAACCAAAAAAACAAAAAAACAAAAAACAGAATAATAACTAGAAAAAATATAAATTAAAATTTCTTTTTATTTGTTTTATTTATCTTTATTTAATAAACGATATAATTTTGTAAATAAATAACCCACTTTCTGTTATTTAAAATTTTTGTAATTAATTTCTATTTTATTATTTCACATACATATAAGTTGTTATTAAAAGATAATGACTTAAATTATTTTTCTTTGAATTCTCAAAACAAAACCAAAGTATAAAACTAAAAAGAAGAAAAAGAATACGAAGTAGAAAAGATAATAATATATTTACCAAATTTCTAAAAAAAAAAACAATATAAATAAAAAAAAAAATTTAATCATTTATAGAAATTAAATAAGATGCCTAACAATAAAAAAAGGAATCATATAGAAAATAAAAAAGGATTATTGTGTAATAGTTTTTTTTTTAGATTTAAAAAAGTTTTATTTAATTTTAGTTTTAATGGTAAAAAAAGGAAAAATAAATATAGTTAACAGGATCATTTTTAATGTTTTTTTTGATAGTTTCTGATTATTTTTTTTTTTATGTTTTGTTTTAATTAAATTTTATTATTGTAACAACAAATTTTGGAATAGTATTATTAGAATTTGATAAAAAATTATTTTTTATTCAAATCTTTGCTTTTTTGATTTATTTGGTACTGATTTCTTCCATTGTTTTACATTTACATTGATTAATGATTGAAGAACAACTTCGTTGGTGAGTGGGTTAGTTAAAGTGAAATGGAAATAAAGTGGAATATGAGAGTTGTGACCAGAGCAGCACATTGGTTTTAAAGAAAGAGTAAAACCACCATCTTTGACACGTGTTAAAATATTATTTTTAACCAAAAGGACTTTACCTTTAGCGTGTGGATTGGCTGAGAAATAAGATTTAGTTTGATAATATTCAGTACAGATTTTACAGTTGTAAATTGGATTTAAATGGCCATCGTAAACATTACCATCAAGAATAAGAGCCTTTTCATTTACATCTGGTTGTTGTTTGAATCTCTTAGCATTACCACTGTAACCTAATGAAGGATGAATATAAATACGATATGATTCATATTTACTCATAGCTTGTGGATTATTATATGCAAGGAAACGTTCGTTATCGAATATACCACTTTTTTCGTCGATTTGGGTGATTGGGAGTGATGTATCTGGGTATGATGGGAGTTTGAATTGAATTGGTTGGTAGTAGTTTCTGTGCATTGGTTCTAATAAATTCCAACATGCCTTGTGTCTACCTGGTTCACCAGCGTAATATGGTTCAAAGAATACAACATTAGAACGTACCGAGATTGGTGGATG